AGCGTCAAAGTCTGATGCCACCAAAAACTACACTTCAAGATAATGTCAAACGTTTTACACCAACCGGCGCTGAATTCATTGATGGCACCCACGAAACATTCTCTTTGGTGATTTTTGCAACAGGTAAGAAGATTTTTGTTCATGGCGAAGAATACGTCTATATTGAATAAGTCACTAATAGTTGTATATAAAATATTTTCAGGCTACAATTTCACGTATCCATTTTTGAGCGTTGACACTGGCATCACCGTGGAGGAAAATACTGTTTTGCCACTGTACAAGCAAGTCTTTAACATTGAACATCCCACGATGATTTTCATCGGCATACCATTTACAGCTTGTACCACTCAAATCTATGACTTGCAGGTAAATACAAATCATGATAAATTTTTATTTAAATCTCATGTATTTAACTAATGACGACTTTTAAATCAGGTGCGATTCGCAATGAAATTCCTTACGGGTGAAAAACAACTGCCATCGAAGTCGGACATGTTGACCGATATGCAAACTCAAATGCAAAAGCACTGGGCCAAAGGCTATGGCAAGCGTTACACTCACTGTCTGGGCGTTGAGCAGAATGAATATATCAAGCAACTAGCTGAAACAGCCAACGTTGAACCGATTCCAAAAGTTATGCCCGATATGCATTTCGATTCGCGCGAATCTATGAAAAAGGGCCCATCTCAGTTCCGCAAATTCAAATACATCATCATCGATGACAAAACATTTATCAAGGAGCGAGAAGAAGAGTAATATACGCACAAAGCAAAGAGAAATAACGAAATAAAGCTGTGACATTGGAGAAGTTATTATCAATTTAAAGTTGTAAAAAGTGTTTTTTAAATATATTTATTGTGAAAATCAAAATATCCAGTAAAGAAAATGGCTCATTTAATTATGATCCTCAAATTTCGAAAATGATCTAGATTGGTTTGAGTTATTGTGATGATAAATACCGCGATTTGAAGCTAATTGCAATTGCTTCCGATCCCGCCTGACCGACTTTTCATATATGATCTTGTTTCATAGTAACACACCACTGAAAATGACTTCAACATTTCATATTTGTAACTTTTGCTGAATGGTTTTGTTTACAGATTTTTGTGCCGTTCTCGGACATGAAAATCTTGCAATACATTTTATCGATTTCGGATTCCAGTAGGAATATTTCGAAATAGAAAACAATATTCATAGATTAGCCACACCGTTGCTGCAAGAGCATATACTATTATTGTTTTTAATTAATACGTTGAGTGTTGTTGATGCGTTGCGGCCGTGCGTCTTATCAACAAGTCAAAGTTGTGCGATTTTCTTTTTACATTCACAAACTTAGCAACCAAGAGAGAGAACATCTCGAGCGATAATAATTCTGCGAGAAATTAAAATGTAGGATTATTCAGCAATTATTCGAAGCAGATGACTCATGTAATTTGAGTGTGCAATTTAATTTAATTTGTGTTTGTTGCAATTGCAGCCAGACCACATGTGCATTGTGCATACAAGGTGAAAGTATTTTAATTTCTCGACAGATTCACTTTAACAGTTTAAAATATTTAAAACACTGTCTAAAGATTGATGAAATTCATCAAAGGAGTTAAATAAAATAACCAACGCAATCTGAAATGCTACTGGAATAAAGGCTATTGCAAACGTAATACGCACTATTTGATCAGAAGGAGTACTTTAAACAGCTGTCAGAGATTGATGGTGTTGCTGCATTACGACTCATGTACAACCATGGCACGAAATGCGTCACAGTTCCGAACATTTAAATATGTTATTATCGATGATGAAACATTTATCGAGGAGAAGTATGAAGACAATTAGTCTTCTTAGTTGTTGGATAACGAAAATGAAATTTATGCTCATACCTTTCAAAGTAAACTAAATCCGAATTTTCCAGTAATTTTTATCTAATTTGAATATTCAATTCGTCCTGTGGATGACTAAAGTCTGTGTATTGAAACTCAAATGCTTTTTTCCAAGCTTTTTTATAATAAAAAAATTCATTCAAATTTTGATTTTATTTCCAGAAACTAAAGAATAATTCGAAAACCATATTCGCAAGCGAACCAAAGTAAAGCCAGTGCAGAAATTTATTTTCAATGGAAAAGTGTCAATTTAAGAATTCTTTTGTGGCACTTTAACGATAACGCTTTTTACTTCAGTATAGTTCTGTAAGGCGTATTCACTGTTCTCACGACCATGTCCAGACATTTTGTAGCCGCCGAATGGAGCTTGAGCGCCAAATGCATTGTATGCATTCACCTAGAAAAGGCATATGATATGAAATGGATTATATAATTAATTGGAAACAATTTTGGGGGAGAATATCATGTTTGAAATACAAACCCAGACAGTTCCAGCGCGTAGTCCTTGTACAATGTGGTTTGCTTTGTCCAAGTCCTTGGTGAAGACAGCAGCAGCCAAACCGTATTCGCTCTTGTTGGCGCGTTCAATGACTTCATCGATGCTCTTGAATCTGATTAATTGTTGAACTGGGCCGAAGATTTCCTCACGTGCAATGCGCATATTGTCTTGAACATCAGCAAAAACGGTTGGTTTCACATAGTAACCATTGCCTAGATTGGTTTCCCTTCCTCCACCAGCTACCAACTTGGCACCTTCGCGCTTTCCACTTTCAATCAATTCGAGGATTTTATTCATCTGTTCATCATCGATTTGAGGACCTGCATTGATTGACACATAAAATGAGTAACTCATCTCCTTCATATGCTGATATATATATATATATATATTTTACCTTGTTCAGTTGTTAGATTGAATGGATCGCCGACTGTACGCTTCTTGGCCCGTTCTGCACTTCGTTCAACAAATTCATCATAGATGCTCTCTTCAATGTAGTTTCGTGAACCGGCGCAACAACATTGACCCATCTAGAGAATAGCATTGAATAAAATTTAATGGCTTCATTTTAATACGAACTTCTGTCGATAGAGAACCAACAAACTTTTCTCAATACTTACATTGAAGAACAAACCAAAATGTGCTTGCTCGACTGCATAATCCATGTCCGTATCAGAAAGAATGATATTCGGGGATTTGCCGCCCAATTCAAGTGTAACGCGTTTTAAGTTGGTGGCACCAGATGCTTGTTGGATAATCTTGCCAACTTCAGTTGATCCGGTGAATGCGACTTTGTCAACGTCCATGTGATTGGCGAGCAATGCACCAGTTTTACCATCGCCTGGCAACACATTTATCACACCTTTCGAACAACGCCAAAATCATTTATCAAATTTATCATTTATCAAATTTATTATACCTTCTGGGAAACCAGCTTCTTTTGTTAGTTGTGCCATGTAAAGCGCTGTTAGGCTCGTTTGTTCAGCAGGTTTCAGAACTACAGTTGAGTAATTTAAATGGATTCACTTGTTAAATTTCGATTTGTCTTAAAAGAAAAGAAAAACTACAACAATGAATACCGTACTAATAGTATTTCCCGTTGCTAGTGCTGGTCCCAATTTCCATGCCATCATCTGAATTATTAATTGTAATTATAAAAGATAATTTTTTTAATTCAAAATTTATAATATATTTTCTTGTGGTAACAAGACCAACCAAGATAGGGAAGTTCCAAGGAATAATCTGGGCGCAAACTCCAACAGGTTCGTGACGAGTGTAAACAAAATAATCGCCATCCATAGGAATTGTTTTGCCTAAAATAGCCAATTACCGTTCATTAAATTCGATCAATTCCAACACGAACCAACCATTATTGAATTACTTTACCGTGATTTTTGTCAGCCCATCCAGCGAAATAGCGTAAGTTTTTGATTGAAAACGGAACATCAACGTAGTATGAAGCAGAAAATGGCTTGCCATTGTCAAAAGTCTCAAGGCTCTGTGAATAAAAAATGACACGGCATTAGATTTGTAATGGATTTAAATAGCTCTTGTCATTACCGCAAGATATGTTCTATCACGTTCCATCAAATCAGCCAACTTATACAGAAGATTACCGCGCTCAGATGCGTCCATGCGGCGCCATGGTGAACCCAATCTGAATGTGGTTACAAATTTAGGTAATAAAGTACAATACGAATTGAAAAAAACCGGAAGGTTTGAAAAAATGATTCAAAAAACTCACTTAAATGCTTGACGAGCGGCAGCAACTGCAATATTTACATCTTCTTTGCCAGCTGCTTGAATTTGCGCAATAGTTTGCCCAGTTGCTGGATTCACAGTTGGGAATATTTCGCTGGATTTGCTCTTATACCATTCGTTATTGATGAACAGCTGAAAATAGACACAAAGCGCTCAGAAATTAGAATTCAAAGAATAGCTTATCTCGACTAAAATGCCACATTGATAATTGAAAATCAAAATATCATTTCGCTGTTTGTAGCTAACCTCAACAAAGCATTCGCAATTATTTTGATGACCGTATCAAATCATTAAAAATGTACCAAAATATTACTTACGCCAGTGTATAGAATGTCCGGATTAGTTTGCGGCTGTGGAGCGGCAGCAGCAAAATAAGCTACCTTCGACGATGAAATTTTCATACATTGATGCCATTGAATTGGGTTTGATCCCGCACGCAATACTGAATTGGCTAAACGCAGCATCTCTGTATGTTACTCCAACAAACTGATGCAATTAAAAAGAATGATTTTATTTAATGTCATGCAAGAGTGAACCTGTTTGGACAGCAGTGAATGCTTTTCGTTTAGATTAAAACAACATATATATCTCAAACTCTTGCGAGATAACAAACGAAGTCATACAACAAATACGTAGTACAACAAATAAGGTACGCTTCTATCGAAATGGAAACACAATCTTTTTATTCAGTTTCATTCAGCTGAATCGTTTATCACTCACAATAACAAAATACAAGAGTCTTTGAACTACGCCCAAGTAAAAACAATACTAGACCGATTTACAACAATGTATTCGCATGACATACGCTCAGCAATTTTGCACATACTTTCGAAAATTACTTGAAATCCTTGAAAAGACTACTTGTTACTCTTCGAAAAAGTATTTTATTACTGATTTTAAACACGAGATGATTTGCTCAATCGAAATATTAGCAAAATAAATCAAAAAGTCAAACAAAAGAATTATTGCGTCTTATTATTTGCTGAAATCTAAACACCAAAAATATCGCAGTCACTTTCAAATTATACACATTTTATTCGATAAACACAATGACTTGACATGTTTAGAATCTGAAAAATGATTTTCGCTCTCAAAAAAATACTCACGTTCTCGTCGACAGCTCAATTGGAAATGACATTACACGAAAAAATGATATAATCCGACTGATAATATTTACAGCTGATGTCTTATTTGAATATAGGAGCAAACACACTTTGCCGGCAATTCCCTAACGCGAGACGAAGAGAAACAATTTGAAATCTGTTTCACATGGCTCCATACATTCGTCTCTTTCTGTTCGGTTTATTTTTGCGGTTGTCAAATCCAAGCAATAACAACAATCTTAAACGAACTGGATCAGTTGATCAAAATTAACCAAATGTTTCCATACAAAATTAATTTTTTTTTTTTAAATAATTGCTCAAAATAATCATGTCAATCGATTAAGTATTAAAAAATTGTAAATTTTTTCCATTTCAAGAACCAAAAATTTATTCAAAACATTTTAATTCATCTCTGGCGCCCTCTTCACTCACGTTTCGAATTGGCAACACTTGACAGTTCGTAAAACGTCATCAAAAACCAATTTCTCTAGAGGAACGTCTACAAGCTTACGCTTGTTCCGTATGGGAAAACATATAGACATACTTTTCTTTTTGGTTCAACGAAATTGTTCGAAAGTGAATGAGTGCAATAGAGTTTGATTTATTTTTGTCTGTGTGTTTAAAGTTTTCTTTTCGTTTAGCATTTTGTTTGGTGCTTTGTGAACACGGAATTTATTTATCGGTTAGACAAGTTCACTGAAATTGTTTTCCGAATCGAGAAACGCTCAATGTATTCACCTTAATTGGTTCATTCATACTTTCGCATTGTCATTCTCTCTATCAGAAAGAGTGATCTCTTTTCAAACTGTGACTCTTTTTTTTAATTTGCTAATTGATATGTGTTGCATTTTATTTTCTTCGTCAAAATTTGATACGACATTCATTTTATAATTTTATGTTGTGCATTTCATTTAGTTTGTGAGGTGAAAAGAGCAAAAGAGCAACAAACATATTTACAGTTGAGTGTATAGCTATGCTTGGTGGCTCAACAATGAGTGCGGCAAATGCATTACAGGGTATGAATAGCGCATCGGTGTCATCGTCAACCGCAATGTCGTCCACAATTTCTTCATCGTACAATAGCGATCGATCGTCGATTGCGACCGGACTTGATGTGGAATTTGCCAACGATGCAGCATCGGGTGGTTTTTTCAATAGCGACTATAAAAAGTGAGTACAAATCTGTATGCTAACCTATCTTCTTTGAAAATAACAAAATGAAAACGATAAGCGCTTACAATGTCAACGAATTTAAATGAGTCATTTACATATTCAATTTAGGCACGATGATTTGAAGCAAATGCTGGATAGTAACAAAGATCACTTGAAATTGGAAGCGATGAAGCGAATCATTGGGATGGTAGCAAAGGTTAGTCTAAAGTCATTTTAATTGAATATTCTCCATATTAAAACCGCTTAATTTCATTTTGTTTCAATTTCATAGGGGCGTGATGCATCTGAATTGTTCCCGGCTGTGGTCAAGAATGTTGTGTCGAAAAATATCGAAATCAAAAAGTTGGTCTACGTTTATTTGGTGCGATATGCAGAGGAGCAACAAGATTTGGCACTGTTATCGATATCAACATTTCAACGAGCCTTAAAAGATCCTAATCAATTGATTCGCGCGAGTGCACTGCGTGTCTTATCAAGCATTCGTGTATCGATGATTGTTCCTATCGTGATGTTGGCTATTCGCGACGGTGCATCGGACATGAGTCCATACGTTAGGAAAACGGTGGCGCATGCCATTCCAAAACTCTACAGTTTGGATGAAGAGCAAAAGAGTGATTTGATTGAAGTGATTGAAAAGTTGTTGTCGGATAAAACGACTTTGGTTGTCGGTTCGGCCGTTATGGCATTCGAAGAAGTGTGCCCAGAGCGTGTGGATTTGATTCACAAAAACTATCGAAAATTGTGCAATTTACTGGTGGATGTGGACGAATGGGGCCAAGTGATAATAATAAACATGCTAACACGTTATGCACGCACTCAGTTCACTGACCCGAATGCTGACGACAATGAAGCCGCTGAACATCAAACCGAAACGGAAAAACCATTTTATGAAAACTCTTCCGGCTCGGACGATGAATCCGAAACGAAAAACCATTTAGATCATAATAATAAAACTTTTATTCTCGATTCCGATCATCGTTTACTATTGCGACAAACGAAACCATTGCTCCAGAGCCGAAATGCATCGGTTGTGATGATTGTTTCCCAACTGTATCACCATATTGCTCCACGGAACGAGGTGAATATTGTGGCCAAGGCTTTGATTCGCTTGTTGCGCAGCCACAAAGAAGTGCAAAGTGTTGTTCTCACAAACATCGCCTCAATGTCCACGCAACGAAAGTCAATTTTTGAGCCTTATCTCAAATCGTTCTTTGTTCGTACCAGCGATCCGACCCATATTAAATTACTCAAATTGGAGATTCTCACCAATTTGGCTACGGGCTCGACGATTTCCGTGATTTTGCGCGAATTCCAAACTTACATCAGCAGTAATGATAAGAAATTTGTAGCTGCTACTATTCAGGCGATTGGACGATGCGCCGCTTCAATCACCGAAGTTACAGAGACTTGCTTGAGCGGATTGGTTCATTTACTATCGAATCGAGATGGTTTGTAACATTTAATAATTCCGTTTTTCTTATTGGAATCCTCATTCAAAATAAAAATTCAAAAATTCAAATTAAAATTTTCTATTAAAAACCAATTTCAGAGTACGTGGTTGCCGAAAGTGTGGTGGTGATTAAAAATCTTCTTCAAACAAAAGCAGCTGATCATTTCGAAATCATTTCTCAAATGGCTAAGCTGATTGATTTCATCACAGTGGCGGCGGCTCGTGCATCGATTCTCTGGTTAATTGGCGAATACTGTGAGAAAGTACCAAAAATTGCACCCGATGTCTTGAGAAAATTGGCCAAATCCTTTATTGAAGAGGTAAAAAAAATTCGCTTTTGTATCGGTTTTCTCTGCACTTTTTTCATCTTCTGAATTGTGTTATTGTTTGATTCAGAAGGAAGTTCATTGAACTATTCGATTTAATTCAATTCGATTTCATTTCATTTCAGGATAACATAGTGAAGCTGCAAGTTCTAAATCTCGCTGTAAAATTGTACTTGACAAATCCGGAACAAACGGACGTTTTGTGTTGCTATCTGTTCAGTTTGGCTCGATACGATGAAAACTATGACATCCGAGATCGGGCTAGATTCTTGAAGCCATTCATACTACCATCGAATGGTGAAACTGTACTCTCGAAACAGGCCAAGCGTATCTTTTTGTCAGCAAAACCTGCACCGTTGCTCGTCAGCCAATATTGTCGCGAACAATTCCAACTGGGTTCGTTGGCCCACTATTTGAATTCACGAACAAATGGCTATCATGATTTGCCCGCCTTCCCCAAAAAGGCGCCCGATTCAAGCGTAAGAGGCGTTGAAAATGCGGTTCACGAGAACAGCAATAACTTTGAACAAAACGACAACCAAGAGTGGGAAAACCAAAGTGCCAAAGGAGCAAGCAAGTCGAACAAAAAAGACAAGTCATTCTATTCGGACAGCGAAAGTGAAAACGATTCATCCGAAGAGGACTCCAGCTCAGAGGATAGTTCCGAGGAAAATTCTGGATCAGAAAATTCCGGAAACGAAAGTGAAAATGGTACGAAGAGTGCAAGTGGCAGCGGAAGCGGAAGTGACGACGATTCAAGCTCAAGTGAGGAGGAGAGTAGCAGCGATAATTCGTCTGACAGTGATGACAACACAGAGTCGAGCAATGAGAAAAAACCGGCTGTCAATAAGACTAAAGAAAATTCGAAGCCAGCCGCCATGTCGGTAAAATCGGAACGCAGTAATTTGGATTTGTTATTAGATTTGGGTGATATAGCTCCAACTGCGCCAATCATGACACCATCACTAGGTGGTTTCCTGACACCAATTTCAAATGCAACTTCCGGTGTTTCGTCGAACACATCAAGTCACTACGAATTGGTTGGACCCGTTCATGTGTCCCTGGATAAACGAGAACTTTTGAATAAAACCAATAGTCATGGTTTGCAAATCAACTATCGCTTCACACGCGCACCCCACCTATACTCTGCCAAAATGGTTTCAATCGAACTGACATTCCGCAATGAATCGAATAATGAATTGGAAAATATACATTTATCTGATAAATCATCGTTGCCGGCAAATGTTGCGATCAGTGATTTTGCGCCAATTGCCAAACTGAACGCGGGACAATGTGTCCAAAGCGTGCTCGGTGTTGATTTCAACGATTCCACACAAGCAATTTCATTTGAAATTGCATCGAGTGCTGGAAGTGCAAAGGTTTCATTAAAATCCACCGTTGGTGAGATGATCCGAGCCGTTCGTTTTACCGCATCCGTTTTCAAAGAAGAACAATCCCGTTTGCGTGGAATGAACGAACATTCATGCAAAATTGACGCCCAATCGAATATAGCCGCAATACAGCACAGCATTTTTGAAACGGCCAACTTGGCGCTGATCGCAAACAATAGCACTTCCGATGGAGACGTTCTTCTATTTTCCGGCCAAACGATGTCATCACAAAGTTTGGTGCTAGTTACAGTCGAACGCAACAATGCCAATGGCATAACGATTACAGTGAATTGCGAAAAGATGGTCATTGGATCCATGCTATTGAATGAGATTAAAAACTCCATTAAATGTTAGGTCATTAGAATTGTTTTACAATAAAAAAAAAGGATTTATTTTTTGCTATACAAAACGAACAACTATTAATATGCTTGAAGCATTCAATCGCATAAAGTCAATTCTAAATGAAATAATCATAAAGTCAACGCGCCAGAAAAATGAAACTCCTGTTGAAATTGGAATGTCGTTTATTTAAAATAACAATAAAATACATAAGACATATTGAATAAAGACTAAAATCGTACAAAAAAAAAACAGCAACAATATTTGGTTTAATCTTAGTATAAATTGAGAATAAAAACAATTTCATTGGTGTCCCTAGTCAAAGTCATTGTTGCCGTTGCAGCGATGACAACGAAAACATCCGGAAATACATCGTTTAAATGATCGTATGTTATTGATGACTTGTTCTTGCATCAAATTAAAGCACATCGCAATCAATGCCATACCAAGCAACAGATACACCGCGCAAATAATAAATTGGATGTCAACGCCGCGAACATCATCCACACCCTCCTTCATTTTGAATATCTGTTTGGAATAACAGCACAAATGAATATGCGTACATCTTAAGTGTGTACATAACGGTACACATTACCTTATCGCCGGGAACGATGTCACCAAAGCCGATCGAGCTGGAACAATAAAATGGGATGGGGGAAACAAACAAATATTCATGAGCTCAGAATTGTACAATATGGATGTGTATAAACAATGATGAACACACAAAACATTATGGAATTTTTTTAATCGAAACGAACCTCAACGAAATGAAGCAAAAATAGCAACCTGTTAAAATTCTCCAGTTATCCTCCCAACGCAAGAAGATAATCGCACCAAATAGAATGTAACTGAAATCGTTTTGAACATATTGTGACATATTGATAAAAAGCAGGAGTCCAATTTGAAGAATATCAAATATATGGTGTATATTTCACAGACTTTGTATTTTTTTTTTCAATACAGTATGTTCTCAAGCGGTGTACAACGCTTGAAATACTTCAATTATTTCAACAGATATATGATAATTATCTTTTGCAAAGTTGTATAGTTTGACAAGACCAATAATTTTTGCGAAGACACTAATTCGATATTTACGATTGAAACATACTCTACTTTATCAAAATATAAGTTGCAAACATGTGTTTTAAGATTGCTGAACATCTCAGCATTTCGTAAGGCACGGATATATCCGAGCATATCGACGACGCATACTGTATAATACAGTGGCGTGCGTTGCTACGTGCAGCCGCAACGACTCGACCGGAATGTGTATGTTGTTGCTGCGTGCAGCCACATCAACTGAACACACTTCGGTCGAGTCGTTGCGGCTGCACGTAGCAACACACGCCACTGTATTATACAGTATGCGTCGTCGATATGCTTGGATATATCCGTGCCTTACGAAATGCTGAGATGTTCAGCAATCTCTAAACACATGTATGATAAGTTGTCAAAAAGCATACATTACTCCCAATCTCACCCATAGAAATTGTACTAACCTGATCATAATCATCAAGCACACGCTGATTGGAACAGAAACGGTACTTAAATCTTCAGCAGTGCTTTCTGAAGAGGATGATGATGAATCACCTTGATTCATTTGGCTTTCCGGCGTTTTCGTACTCGAAGAAGATGTTACTGACGTCACTGAAACACTTTCCTCCGAGATGAAATCTTCCTACAACGAGTAAACAGTTATCAAAAAAATAATCTATCTTTGCGTAGGCACATCCGAATGAATAAAACATATCATTTCATGTTTCTAGAAGGAAAAAAAAACATTGGTATGGTCAATTTCGTACATCATCACCATATTCTTCATTTAATTGCCGTCGTAATGCACGAATTTTGCGTCGATTCCTGGATTCACGTCGTTTCGCAACGCCGGGGCAAATTCGACACAGGCATACTTTGGCATAGATCCATTTGAATGATTTTGCCAAAATATCGCCGATATTCGATAGATAAAGTAAAAACAATGGCATTCCAATGATTGCATAGAAGATTGTTATCGATTTTCCGAGGGCTGTGCGTGGTGTTATATTGCCGTACCCTAAAATTGGACGAAAAAAATGATCTTGATGATTTCAGATGATTTCGATGCGAAAAATAAACGGAATCAATCAATAAATATCACGAACCGATGGTGGTGATTACTGTAAGTGAATAGAGAAGTGCATTGGGGAACGTCCATGTATTTGAACTGGTGCTATTTGAACCAATCCATCCATCATTAAATGCCAGAACAATTTTCTGCTGATACTCTCGTATTCGAATATCTACTCTGCATAATGCAATGGAATCAAACAAAATTACCCTTAATTAGTTCCATGTCAAAAGGTACATAATTTTCGCTTGTACAGTAGTTTTTTTCGGTTATTGTTGACTTTTTGATGAATTATTAGTAAACAGCTCTTCAATATTGACGTAGAAGCAATTACAGTGAATTGAATTAATATTTTGATTAGGCTAGCGATTTTCGATGGAAATTTCACTGTCAAAACACACTGTATAAAATAAATTGGGTTTGGCGATTTGCAGGATTTTAAATTACCGATATATGCATTGGATTAGAGATAGAGCAACTGGCAGCATGTGTTAGTTGCAGTACAATTGTGATATGTTATGGTATGTGATAGATGCTAACATGTGTTTATCGATGTGTGTTATTGGTGATTATTTAATTCAGAAGTTCACTGAATTTATAACATATGGACGAACTGACAAGCGCAAATCCCAAGCCGAGCAAGAAATGAAAACAGCAGGAGGAGTGAATTGAATGCGCCGCAACCGCAAAACAAAAACAATGTCAGCCATTAACGATCTGCCTTCTTTTTTTTTCATTGTTTTTATTGTACAGTGTAACATACGGTGTATATGTTGGATGTGTATGCGTTTGCATTTGCGTAAGCCAGCGTTATTCGTTTGAAAGCCAAAATAAACAAAACAAAAGCCAGTTTACGCGAATCGGTTCGTTGGAAATTAATTTAAAGGAACAAACTGACATGACATGAGTGCTTGCTTGCTTACTCGTTTATATATGTCGATCGATTGAAGTTGTTCAGCTGAAGTGTTATATTCCATAACTGAGTGCTTATATCATCCCGAATTATTTTCATATTATAGTTTTGGTCTTTGGTACGCTTCAAATAGTATTCACCTTCGATTGCCTTAAACATCGATGCACCTATACAGAGGAAAATCCGTTGAAAAAGACATTAGTTTCGATTTGAAAATGTTTGCTTTTGATGACGACAGCATCAGTCGCTTTCATTTTTAACTTCATTTCTCTGCCACTGATGAAACTATCTCTTATTCTGTCCTACATTAGGTGGGTTTCTAAATTAGTCTAATAGCTGAGTGATATATTAACGCTTCTAACAAGACAGCTCAAGTGAAAACATATTAAGCTCACATTTTTAGATAATTCCGACGAAAATATTGGATATACTTTTGGAATTCTATAACCTTTTTTCTTAACGAAGATTAAATGTGACGTACTGTACATTTTCTGTGATTTTTGGCAAGATCAAATAACACGGAATATATGAGGAGAATTTGTCGTTGTGTCATAATAAATATCTAAAAATGGCATGCATTTTGATAGATTGACCGATTTAAGCAACGTTTAAATTCTTCAATCTATTTGAAGAAAAAAGATGCTCATTCTAAAGCCCTGGTGTGTCTAAATAGGTTAACCTTTCGCTGGCCTAACTATGTTTGCTAAATGTATTTTCGAACTGTCTCTTTGGGGCCGATTCTTAGCTGAAGCGAATCTTTCCGTGTATTACTTGTAAATAGTGACGAGAAATTCGAAATTAGCCACCCACCGCATTAATTCTTATTTATTGATTCGATACGAAAAAGTCGGCTGTTGACTGTAAATGTTGAGCATTGGTTGACTTACACCTCTAGTTTCTACTTACCGCTGGTCATATACAAAACGACGAGAATAATAATGCCCACATTGCTAAAAAGAAATGCCGTAAATTGTCTACACGATTCTTTGGCTCGTTCAGCTAACGGTGGTTTGGGCATATTATGTCGCCTCTTGAACGATCTTTGTCGATCCATTTTTTCTTACTTTTGAGTGCTAACAGCAAACCACACAATCAAATTCGATCCTATTCTATTTAAGAACTTGATGTTCTATATTTTATGTTGTTGGTATTGCTGGTGGTATGATTGTTAGCAACTACTTTAATAAGCTCACAATGTACAAAACATTTGGTTCTCACATAATTTGCAAATTTTATTACTATGTTTCACTATAATTCCATTTTATGACGTATAATATATTGTCACACTTTACGTTTCATAGTTTTCATTGAAGAATTGTCGCAACTACACCGAACATTTATTACAGAAAGATCTTTCAAAGATACCGGAATCACGTAAACTCTTCTAAATGGATTTCATCCCAGATCACATTCTGCATGGCCAAATGAATTTATTTTACATTCGGAATTGTGATTCGATTAAGTTTCAATTTCAAAACGTTTTTCTTTCAATTGGTTAAAGTTTTCGTTCGTCCGACGGAAAATCTCAACATTTACGTAATTGAGCGCGTATATCACACGACACACCGAAAATAAACTGAACTGAACCGCGAGCGTGCGGAGATGTAAAGAGTTATATCCAAATGTTCGTTTGCACCAACACCGAAAAAATCATTTTCACAACCGAGAACAACCACAATGCCAGGAACCGTTTGTGAACACAAAACTTTAAATATATCATTCGGTGGATAGTCGGTGAAAATCGCTCATGTACGAAATTGTATGGTGTAACGTTTGCGTTCAACGTCTTAGCCGTCGTCGTTGTTGTCGACATCGTAGTCGTCACCGAATAAAAACAAAAGGCACATGTTTTCGGATTTTATGTGTGACTTCATCAACTTGATCAGCCATAATCACGTCTTGAATGAAAGAGGAAGAAATTTAGCAAATCAGTCGGTTTATTTTTGGATGCAAAAAAAAAACGAATTATTCAGTTTGCGTTTGCTCGTTCAGTTTCAACATTTATTTCACTAGCGTTTGCACCGACAACACGTATACAATTGGGTTATGCATACAATTTAGTTTTGAAGATTTTCTATTCTCAAACTGGTTTGCTTCATTTGATCTATCGTCACAGCAATAAATAAATGACGCAACATTTTCGATTAGTTTCCCGGTCTTTTTGATTGGAGGATTTTTACGCTATACGTTGTTCAAACGTAAATATTTTTCAATCAATGACGTAATTTCTCTTAAGACACTATTTCCAATTTACGTAACGAAAGGAAAAGAAAATCTTCAGCCAGATGTTCTAGCATACTCACCCATCCAAATCCCTAGGGGCTTTTTACTCTTTTTCATATATGCGATTTGTACGGATAAACGCGCATAGATTGTGTGCCACAGTGAAGTGTGTCGAATTTTGCACATAGTCACGAATATTACGCATAGAAGCGAATACACGTGCACATAATGACGCCAAGATGCGATTTAAGACGCATCAACACAATGTCAACATTCTGTTGTATCGTTAAGTTTCGTTCAAACAATATTTGACATCAACAATTTCTGTCTTTAATATTTATCAAATCTCTTGCTAGTGATATTGTTCTTATTTGATGAAAATTGAATTTAAATATAACACAAAATTAAAATATAATAGCAAAGAATAAGAATGAAAACGAAAATCAAAATGTTATATTATACAAATATTGAAGTAAAACCGCCGATAGTTTTGGTAGATATAAAAATCGTTGAAAAAATAAGTGCGACGATTCATTATACTTGGAAATAGCATCTGGATTATAAATAATAAAAAATCCATATGTACAAATGATTGAAGTTAACAAAAATGATCAGCAAAAAATGTGAGCCGAAATAAGTACAAATCAAACACTTGCAGTCAAGTATTTCTTGAATTTTTACATGAAAAAAGTCGTTGCACTTTGAATTCAAAATAGTCGATATTGTGGCGTGTGACCAATCAGAGAAGGAAACATTTTAGTAGTATTCATGCGAAATTATTCGCAGTATGAATGGTCTATGTGCAGTATTCGGACATCGAATGTGTGCACTTCTAACTATTCGGCACCGCATAATACGCATAGTATGAAGAAATTTTTTTCGAGTTGAATGCCCCTAGCCAAATCCAATCTACTTGTATTTAACACATGAAGATAAATTCCAAATAAGAAATTGAATTATGGAATAAATTGTCGATTCGATGAGACTGCAAATCACCGACACCGACAATGAACTCTCTGGATCGTACGATGTTTTAAATAAGAGCAAAAATAGGTTCAAAAATACTTTAAACAAAAAACCAAATCTACAATCGCTAAATTAGCGATCTCTTATCATTGGCCGCTAATAGTAGATAGTGTTATTTTAAATGTCATAATTCAATCAATGACGGAAGCAATGAAAGTGCCTCAATACAAACCATTTAATCGGAATTTGCAACCATATCTTATGACATTGAATTCATTACAGTTACATACAAATAGGATGTTTTCGACAGCTAGAACAGAGAAAAAACTTAGTACATAGTGTCGAAATAAATAGAGAAGAATGGTGAGAGTGGAATGGCTTACCGCAAGAAAAGTTCTGATGCGAAGGGGAAATTCAAACACTTGAATGGTCGTGATTGATACCACATACGTTTGGGAGTATTGCATTACAAAAGCCAATGCTTTTCTCGTTTCATTCGAAAAGAACAAAAATTACTGAAGAACATGTTGGTCGACAGATCTAGAGACTTCAATGTTTACAATTTGATTGGAATTTTTTTATAGAATTTTCTCAGATTAGATAAAAAGGAGTTAAAATGCATTTGAATGCAGTATCTAAACTTACCGACTCAATTAGATGTGTACCAAATCGACAAAATTAGAAAATTTCAACAATAATTGCGTTCAGGTAAAGAGCTTTCATGACGAATCCAATTGAGCCAAACGGAATCTATGTGAAAAACAATAATCAATTGAATACATCTCAAACAACGAAAAATCTTAAATTGACTTATAATCAGCAATTGCAACGTAGTCAAGGAAAAATCAAAGTCGCATTGAATTATTTCCAATTTCCATAAAAATGATGGTATTGAAGAGAGAAATGAAGTCTTTTGAGTAGCTGAAAGTACAATATTGTTTCAATTGGAAGTTGCTTTGATCAATGATTGGATTTAATTTCAATGAATAACTACCGTTTGATGTCTTTTCTTAATCCAACACACTCCACAAGTTTCATATAATATCGCCCGTTTTGTTCTAATTCGTCGCTTTCACTTTTTTCTCCATTCTTTCTCCAACCGATGTTCGACAAACGCAAACCAAGCAACCGTCTTTGATAGGTTACACCAATAAGAGTATAAATCAATCTATCCATTGCCGCATCAATTGAGGACATCCTAACGGTAGAAATTCCCTCAAAATCGTACACAACATAGAATAGTGCATCAGACTCATTTAACTTAAATGGATACCAAGATGGATATGACAACATCGGTTCAGAGCCGAGCAATGGTAGCACAAAAAAATCATGGACGCGGGCTAATAATCGTAGCAATCAAATTTAAAATTCGATCGCAAGTGATTCAAAGAGAATTTTTGAATTGAATTTTTTTATTAATTGCCCGTTCTGAGTATCAAAAGCGAGCAAACAATTTTAAGAAGCAAGCCAAGAAGATTGAGAATGGAATCAGGTGACATATGTATCCGCCTTTAAATCCCACCAAAAGAATAATTAATTCAATGACGGAAATGGTGTCCTTGAGTATAAACTATAAAAGCGTCAATTGATCTTTACACATTTGAACCGGTGTTGTCCAATTATTTCGAGCATAAATTCAGCTCCGCAAAATCGGAACGTACATTCGTTCAACGCAATATTGATGAAAATCATCTAAAGAGCATTGCCAACGTTTATTTATTATTCTCTTTTTGAATATTTGAGAAATAAACCATTAGAACGGAAATGGTTTTGTCTCTTCATTGGAAAATAAAATTCCTACAAAAGGCGAATTAAAATCATTAAAGCTTTAAGCCGTTCATTCAAACGATATTACTTTTCCGTACACGACGTGTCAAGGGAAAGTATAGGAACTGGTCCCGAAAACTTTTTTCGCAAAATTAGCTTAGATCATCATAAAAACTTATGAAAGGCGTACACACTAATATTAAATGGAGAATCTGTCACCTTGACATGTGGTGATATAGCGGTTTTATGGCGCTCTCTCCGCCATATATTTATGTAGAGATTCATCCAGTTTGAGGTTAAATTCCCCTCTACATCGGGTAAACCGCTATGTCACCACATGTCAAGGTGACAGATTCTCCATTTAATATGGCAGTGTAGAAAACCACTTTTTGAGACACTTTCCCGTTCGTGTGCCGTTGTCGTTGTCGTCGTAGCTGTTTGTTAACACGATAACTCAAAAAATAATTGAGATAATCAAAATGCCAAAAGTTTTGTATCCAATAAACTTAGTTTAAGTTCGAAGATGAGCCATTTTCGATTTGACCCTGGGGTACTTGCCCTAAGAAAAACCTCAAAAAATTGACACTTTTGTATGGGAGGTACCTGTAAATCGACTCAGATTGGCTTCAAACTTTCTGGGATATCATTTTTTGGGAGAAAAATAAGATTCTAAAAGTTTGAAACCAATCGGAATCGATTTACGGGTACCTCCCATACAAATGTTTTGAAATTTTGACTAAAATTACCGACTTTTGGACAATTTTGCGTGAGAGGTACCCGTAAACCGATTTTTATTGGCTTCAAGCTTTCTGAGGTTTCATTTTTTGGAGAAAAAATAAGATTCTGAAAGTTTCATGTTGATCGCATTTGCAGAAGTTTGATTTTTTGTCCTCAATTTTTTCCAAGAAAATTTCGACAAAAATTGAGGACAAAAAATCAAACTTCTGCAAATGCGATCAACATGAAACTTTCAGAATCTTATTTTTTCTCCAAAAAACGAAACCTCAGAAAGTTTGAAGCCAATAAGAATCGGTTTACGGGTACCTCTCATACAAAATTGTCGAAGTTTTAGTTAAAGTGACCGATTTTTCACTTTATTTTCATTATTATATTTTCACTGCTTTTATTTCAAGAAAATTCACAAAAAATAATCAAAAGTACCTAAGGACAACGCAGGCCAACGGTACGGAAAAGTTCGGGATTACCAATGTAATTCTTTTTATCGTGCAATCAAATCAATGTCGTGTCCAACGATAGTTCTTCAGCTGACCTTTTTACAACGACAATATTTTGAATAATTCAGTATTGGTGTCTAAAAAGTACTCCCTGCCGACAAAATCGTATAAAAGGAGATAAGCTAGACTTAAAACAGTCAGTCAACGTCTAACGCAGAAAATACAAGTTCAAATAAATTGCTTGTGAAACTAAAGCAAACAGTTTGATTTTTTGCTGGAAGCATAAGATAGAAAAGATCCAAGTGTTTGAACAGTGAATATACTATGAATCTTGGTGGAAAATTGAAAATCATTTGAAACATCTAAACAAAACGACCAAAACCTATTATTAGTTCTTGCAGTTTCACATTTAGAAAACCGTTTTTGGCAATAAAAACGGTTTAAAAATATACTCAAAAAAAGAACAAGGAAGAAGAATTGAA